GAGCTGGCGGCGCCCTGCCTCACTGCGCTGATCCCTGGAAGAGACAAGGCAGGACGTTCCCGTGGGAGAGGGTCAGGACCCCACTGTGGCAGTCTGACCGAGCTCTACCCTCGCTTGGTCATTTTGAGGCTCGGTTCTGTTGCTGGAACGTGCGCGTGTGGTTTTGCTTTGGCCTGGCTTTTTAACCTAGTCGGTGGCAACTCTCTGAGGTCCTTATCCATGTGTCTAGGGCCATCCCTGATCTTCTTTTAAACAAGACAGAAAACCTTTCGCCGTGTGTCTTTTCTAGCAATTCAGAACGCGGGGCCCAGGGCTGGCCGGGTAGCTCTGTTCCTTTCCCTTTTTAATTTGCCGGCTCCATAATTAATTTTTTTAATGATGACTTCTGGTTTACGTGGAATTACTGTGTATCTTCGTGGGCTACAGTACGGTTTCCATCTTTTCCTTCAGTTGCTTCTATGAGCAAGAGAGGGAGACAGCACCCCCCACATGGGGACCAGCCTCTACAGTCCACCCCCAGCTTTCAGCCTGCCCTGGGACTTGGGCACACATGACCCAGTATGCTGGACCTGGGGTGCACACAGGCCCGGCACGCACTTGCATGGCCCAGCGTGCTAGGTCTGGAGCGTTCATGGACCCAGCGTATGGGGTCTGGGGCATGCACGGTCCAGCGTGCTGGGTCTGGGGCGTTCATGGACCCAGCGTATGGGATCTGGGGCATGCACGGCCCGGCGTGCTGGGTCTGGGGCGTTCATGGACCCAGCGTATGGGATCTGGGGCATGCACGGCCCGGCGTGCTGGGTCTGGGGCGTTCATGGACCCAGCGTATGGGGTCTGGGGCATGCACGGCCCAGCGTGCTGGGTCTGGGGCGTTCATGGACCCAGCGTATGGGGTCTGGGGCATGCACGGCCCAGCGTGCTGGGTCTGGGGCGTTCATGGACCCAGCGTATGGGGTCTGGGGCATGCACGGCCCAGCGTGCTGGGTCTGGGGCGTTCGTGGACCCAGCGTATGGGGTCTGGGGCATGCACGGCCCAGCGTGCTGGGTCTGGGGCGTTCGTGGACCCAGCGTATGGGGTCTGGGGCATGCACGGCCCAGCGTGCTGGGTCTGGGGCGTGCATGGGCCTGGCATCCAGGGCTGGGGGAATTCTCTGCACTTGGACCCCACACAGGGCTTCCTGGAAGAGCATAGCATTTTGCTGCTGTGCCGCCGGCTGGCCCCGGCCCCATTTTGTGACTAAGAAAAGAGGTGTCAGAAGCGTCACACTCTGGCAAGACTTTGTCAAAAATCAGTCTCTCTCAAGACAGTCAGTATTCGAGGGGCAGTGACTGGACTCTGCCCAGTTGCACCCCCTGGTATCTGCCTCCAGGCCAGGCTCAGGGCCGTGCTGCTCCACTCGTTGCTACTGGAGACCAGCCCCCTTCTGAGAACTTGGAGACTGGGCTTCTTTCGTGTACCTTCTACAGAATGTGCTTTGTGTTCTTAAAACCGATGTTTGTGAAGGGTCAGCCTTGTGGTTACGGGCTGCTGGGTCCTGCATGGCTCACTATGTGGTTTGAGTCCCAGATCCACCAGCTTAAAAAGCACACTGGGCAGGGACTAGCAGATGGTGTAGTGGTTAGGTGCTGGACTCCCGCAGAGCGACGACGGTCTGAGTCCCTGACCATCCATGCCAGGTGCGTGTGCTGCCGCGTACCTGTGTGTGCGTGCGTGCCCAAAATCCCGAGAGGAGAAGGGATTGCGGCATGGCCATCCCCCCAGGGGTGATTTCTCACTTTCTGTCTCTCTCCATCTCCAGTGAGCAACGTACTCTATAGGAAAAACGTTTTAAAACAAACAACCCAAGAACACCAGGCACATGTGCGCGCCCAAAACTCCTGGAAGGAGAGAGAGAAGAAAAGGGCATGCGGCATGACTGTCCCCGTGGGAGGGTCCTTTCCCACTTCTTCCCCCACCCCGGTTTCTCTTCAGTGAGTACCTGCACAAATTTTTTTTTTTTTTTTAGAGGTTTTTGCTATAGGGTGCATGCGTTCGCCAGACAGAGAGACAGAGAGACAGAAAGCGAGAAATCACCCCCCAGGGGGGATGGTCACGCCGCAATCCCTTCTCCTCCATTCTCCTCTCAGGATCTTGGGCACGCACGCACTCGCGCCCGGCGTGAGTTTAAGCCACCGGGTCCAGGACGCAAACCGCGGTCAACTATGTGAGAGTCCAGTGATATAGCCATTACGCTAACTGCTGGTCCCCATCTAGCAAATTTTTAAAAATAAAATGAAAGTCTGTGAGTGGAGAAGGAGCAGTGCGTGGTGTATAGTTGGAGGGCTGAGGAAATCTGGAGGTGTGGAGACCCGAGACAGGAGCAGCTCTCCTTTGCCCAGTGTGGGACTGGGTGAGAGGGAGGTCTGGCCTGACTTCTTTGATGTCCTGGACTCTCTGTAGCTCTTTATTTTTCTTCAATCTGTTCATAATAAATTTAGCTGGACATTTAAAAAAAGAAATCTGGGCGTCTGAGAGGCGGTGTAGCGGTGTGGAGAGGTGTCGCGTTTGTTGAGGCCCGGCTGCTGTGTCCTGTACTCTCCCGAATAGAGACACTGGCGGGCCAGCAGGTGGCCTGGAGGTTTAAGGCCGGATCCCGCAGGCCTGACTGCGCCGTACATTCCAGTTCCAAACCCGACAGCTTGAAAGCGTACCGGGCACGTGTGCATGCGTGCCGGGTCCTGAGGAGAACGGAGACGGGGTTGTGACGTGGCCGCCCTCCCGGCGTGTTTCCCCCTTCTCTCGCTCTCTCTGACTCTTTCCTGTGAGTGGCCGGGCCTGGGAGAGCAGCACCAGAGTGTCGAATTGGGAGGGACGCCCGCAGTTGGCCTGCTCAGCAGGTGCTCCTTACGTCTGGCCAGTGTAGACATGCTCGCTCTGACGGCAAAGCTCTCCAAGCCCAGTCGTTCTCCCCAAGCAAGAGACGCCTGAAGCCGGGTTCCCCGCGGGCGAGGGTCCTCACGTCATCTTCTCTGCCTCTGCTCAGCACTTGGGTGCACAGGCCCACTTTCAGGCAACCCGACGCGTGCTCATTTGCTGTTTTTCAGGCTGATTCACCCCAAGAGTGGTCGTTCCTACCATGAGGAGTTCAACCCCCCAAAGGAGCATATGAAAGATGACGTATGTACTTGGGGTGGGGGATTTCCTTTCCTTTTCTTCTTTCTCTTTCTTCCACGCTGTTTTCTTTTTTATTACTCTTCCCGTATTGCCATTATTTCTACCAATACCACTAACTTAACCATGGAAACTGTCGCCATCCAGTAAACCAGATGGCCTCGGGCAGGTCTACGCAGCGTCTCCCTAGGTGGTTTATTGCTTGATCTCAAGGTAGCTGCCAGTGCCAGTGCCCCCGTGCCTGCGCTATCCCTGTCTTCTGTCCAGAGCAGCCCTTTCTGGCATCATGAAATGGCGCCTCCCAAGTGGCCAATGGCCCGGGAGAGGCTGCCTGGAAGCCCAGGCTGGGGTTTGCTGCCGTCCCGCTCGAAGAACATCCTCCCTGGCTCACGGCTGCTCCTCCGTGCCTGGGCTCTCACGTGTGGCCACTGTACCGTCTGCGGTGAGGAGGCCACCTGGTCTGTTTGAGAGCGTGCAGGCGACAGCACAATTCCCCGGGTTTACCCGTGTCACGTGAGATAGTTCATCAGGACATCCAGGGTCTGTAAATACAGATTCAAAGCCATCGCAGCAACCGAGTCACACAGAGTTGGTGATTCACGGTTCTTTCTCACCTCCCCTGCCACTTCTAGGATGTCGATGGGTGACTCTAATATGCTAATATTGGGGCCGGCAGGTGGCGTGGTGGTTGAGGGTGTTGGACTCCCACATGACCAACCACAATTCGAGTCCTGGACCTGGCAGCTTGCTTTCTCGCTTTCCTTCTTTCTTTCTCTCTTTCTCACTCTGTCTCTCTGGTCAAATTTAAATAAATAAATAAAATAATTCTTTAAAAAAATAATAGAAGTTTAGGCAAACCGAGATTACTGTTGCTAAGGTACCTCTGTCTTGTATCCTCCTGGTCTCAGGGACCTCTGTCTTCCGCGATCTGCCCAGAAGTGTTCTTTGAAGCTGAGCAGCTGAGCACAAAGCTGTGAGACAAGGCACTGCCTGTCGTCCCTCATGAGCCCCCCTCACCGCCGCACTTTCTAACGGACCAGCTGGTCTGCTGCTGGGAGGAGTCGAGTTCAGAGCTCTCTGTTGGAATGGGCTAGGGTTGTCTGTCTTTGCCTCCGATGGACTGGGATCAGCGTCCCAGACAAAGTCCCATCTCAAATATGCCTCTGGCGTGGGACAAGGGAGCCTAGCTAGCAGACCGGCCTTTCAGTGGCTCTTCCTGTTCTCAGATCACTGGGGAACCCTTGATCCGCCGATCAGATGATAACGAGAAGGCGTTGAAAATCCGCCTGGAGGCCTACCACACTCAGACCACCCCACTCGTGGAGTACTACAGGAAACAGGGCATCCACTCTGCCGTGGACGCCTCTCAGACCCCGGACGTCGTGTTCGCGTGCATCCTCGCAGCCTTCTCCAAAGCCACATGTAAAGACCTGGTTATGTTTATCTGATGTTGGGTCCGGAAAGGGCTTTCTTCTTCTTCCTGTCCCTGTGGAAGGAGCGGGTGGCAATGGTAGGGCAGGCAGAGCAAAGCTCCCCCAGGCTAGCGAGACTATTATTTGATGTATTGATTAAAGAAACACTTGCTGTATCTCTGGTGTGTGTGCACCTCTCATCTCATCTGCGTGCGTGCGTGCGTGCGTGCGTGTGCAGGCCCATGTTCACTCTCCTACTTTCTAAGTTTTAGGCTTTGTTGCTTTCTCAGCTTTTACTTCTGTGGCCAGTCTCTTGATTTTATTTTTGACCAAAAACTAAGCCCGGTATCTGCCAGGCACCCTAATTCCAAAGCCTCATAGTGTAAACTCCAGGGTCGTGTGACGTCACCCGCAGTGGCAGATGCTGGCAGGGAATTCCACTCTCTTAGCCCACAATCAAAAGCCACATGAGTCAGTGTTTGTCAGGGCTTGTTCATTTTTTTCCCTAAAAGGAAGAAAAAAGGCACTTAAACTATAGCTCCAGAAATGACCGAGAGAAGGTATCACCATGCGAAGAGCCAGGCCGAGTTGGAACACGTGTGTTTTTGCAGTCTACTTCATGGTGCATATTTTACCATACTTATTCCGTAAAGTAAGAATAATCGGGACTTGGGTTTGAAAATGGAGTTGTTGCCGAAGAATTAAATCCAGGTGAAAAGTCCTTTTGAATTCAGATTTTCTTCTCAACACCCAGGCTGGAATCTGAGAGCAGCCAAAGCCACTTCCCCAAGAGACCAGGGTAGGTTCGTTTGCTTGTCCTTTTCACGTTCTCCTGTTGCCAAGTACTGACCAAGCAGGGGTTGGACGTGATCTGTTCTTGGGCTCGTTTTGATCAGGATGTATTTGCTCTGAAAGATGTGCACCCTAAATTGGATGTATTCCTTTGAAACCCAAGCCCGCTTCCTGCCAGATCCAGTCCCTCTTGCCTTATTTCCTGCTGGCGGTAGCCACAGAGCCCCCAGGAAAAGACCACCCCGGGATAAGGCCGCCGTGGCCATGGTCTTATTCAGTGGCTTTTACTTGTCACCCTAGCTCCCCAGCTGTTAAGCATTTCCTAGAGTCCGTGTCATGCTTGGTCGTCTCTGACTTGGTTCGTGGCAAACAATAAATGAACAAGCTGCTTTGAGAACCACGAAAACAGCGAGCTCTGGAAAAGCATTAGCAAGTCAGCGGCAGTTCGGTCAACACCACCTGCCTGCGTAATCTGCTGCTCGGAGCAGTCCCCGCCCGACCTGAGCTCTCTGCTGCTGTCTCTGTGGGGCGGCCAGCGGCTTGTCCTCTCCTCTGTCCGCATGGAGACTGGCGTGGGTGCGTGGCCATCTTGCTTCCCTCTGCCTGGTCCGCGTGAGTGTCTGCTGCCTCCGCCCTGCCTTGTTTCCTGGCTCTAAGCTGCCTCCGCCCTCTCCTAACTGAAACTGGCTGGCTGTGTGTGTTTCTGGGAACCACATGACTTCTGAGAATGGGCCAAGGAAGAGGCATGAAACCTTGACTGCAGCTCTGCCTGCAGGCGTCTGGGATCCCGCTCTGGGCGAGGCCAGCCTGTGAGCCTAGGAATCGGCCCCCCTTGATTGGGAACAGTTGGGGGCTCTTGGCCTCAAACTCGGCCCTGAATGCTTGCTAATTGCCTGCACGGTCGCACGTGCGTGATCCTCGCCCAGATATCTGTCACCCCACTTCACACATCCACGTGTGCACACACATGTGTGATATGTGAGCTGCCAGTCAGAGGCAGGTCACGGGATGCGTGTGCCCTTGTCAGAGTAGTTAGGGTTATATTTTCACTTCATTAAATTCCAGAAGCCTAACCTCAGCAGCTTTCCTCAGAGCACCCCCCGGCAGGGGAATGTCCAGTGTTGGCTGCATTGGGGTGTGGGGTGTGCAGGCCAGCCCTCCTGGTACCGTCCTGGTTTTAAACCCATTTTGTTCTCTCTTGTTCCCTCTCTATTTCAGCCTAGTAACAGAAGCCAGGTGAAACCGCTCTGCTGCTCATCACCCCACGGCGTGATCTCTGCTCTTAGGTGCTGGGCGGAGGGAGGGGTGGTCCGGGGAGGGTGGAGAGGGATGGGAGGTGAGGGGAAAAAAAAAAAGAGCGGCAGCATCTTCTGCACGTAGGTGGGGGTTTTAGAAGTAGTAGCGGGGGGAATTAATTTTTTTGGAAAAACACTGTGATTGGAGGGTGAGGGCAGACACAGGGAGATACAGTATTATTTCCACGGAATCAGGTTTTCATTTTCTCTGAACTGGTCACAGTACTTCCTACAGCCAGTGCCTAAGACCTCGCCTGCCGTCTCAGACCCTCGTGGGTTGCAGGCCACGGTCCAGGAAATCTGTCGTTGCCCTGCCTGTGCTGTAGCTTGGAACAGGGAAGGCCTGGCTATTGTCTAGGTCTCCACACCGTGACATCAACAGTCCATTTTAAAGATAAGGGGGTGATGGCTCAGCAAATCAAGTTTACTAGCGTCCCGGCGGGCGGAGGGCGGCTCGTCTCGCTCCTGTCCGCTGACGGCACGGACTCACCAGCCACTGTCCCTGTGGGCAGCTCTCGGTAGCTGCCTAGCATGTCACGATCCTGTGTTCTCGCCTCCTCTCGTCCACGGCGTGAGGGGACCTTTTAAACAAACAAGCAAGCGTCCTGAGCTATCGCATCCAAAGATGGTCCTTTCCACCTTGAGCCCTGTGCTGGGGTCACTCGACAGCACTGTGATGTATTTTCAATGAGGTGCCTTTCTTAACCGACCAAATGCTGCCTTGTTTGGCTCCTAAATCAATAAAGTGTGTTAAAAGTTTGTATCACCTGTTTCATTTTTTTGAGGGAGTCTGGGCTAGAGAAATGACATTGGATTCCCAACCTGGTTTGGAAGCCCCAGCTGTGGTCACCGGCAGCCACATGTGGGGAGTCGGTGCGTGCTGTACCCCCTTACCCTCAGCTCTTACGTAGGCTCTTGAGCCCGGAGACAAGGCAGCTTGGTCTAACAGACATGCAGTGTCCTGGGGCCTGGGACGTGTCCCAGCTACTCAGCCCTTCACTCTGCTCTCGTTCCCTCATCCGAAAAACAAAACTGAACATTTTTTAAATTTAAGACTCAACATGAAAGCTAATGAGCCACCTTCTCCGACTTCCTGGCGTTAAATGGCATTTATAAGGAGAAGCTTTTTGCTCGGTGCCTGTCATGCACAGGCGTTGACAAGTGTCAGCTGGATCAGAACACAGAAAAACCCTGCTTCCTGCAAGGCTGCGTCGTCAGTCACCGGACAGTTGTCCACAGCCCAGGAGGCCACCGCTGACCCCTGGCCAGATGCCTGGCCGCCTTTCAGCTGCTGCTGTAACGCCTTGGTGGCTTCTTTGTGTGTCCTAGTTGGACTCGATCTCCTCCCAGCAAAGTGAGCTTCAGTCATTTATCCAGAGTGAAGTACTCGTGCTTTCGGAGGGCAGCCTTGCCAGCGAGGTTTCTGAGAAACGACGGCTGTCCCAGAAGCGGAGCGGAGCTGGGCGCACCGCCACTGCCCACGGCGTCTTGTCCCTGAGAGGCCGAGTCCTCCCTGGAGTAGTACATCCTGCTTCCCGAGCCAGTGCTTCAGCTCCACTGCACCTCTGCAGAGACCTTTTCAGAATCCCCCATCTCTGAGCTGTCCACATGCCCCGTGGACATTCCTGCCTGCTGTGGTCATCACACCGCCAGCCGGGAAGAGGAGCTGTCAGCCCAGCCGAGGAAGCAGTGGGGTGAAGGGAGCGAAGGCCGAGTGAGCTGGTACTTCTCTTTGGGCCTTGGTTTCCCCATCCACATGCCAGGACTGAGTGAGGGGAGTGGTTCCTGCTCCTGGAGATCTGCCCCGTGCCAGGTTCCGGGCCACAGCCTGACCCCGCAGCCTCACAGAGCCTTCCCACTAAGCGCTGTGCAGTCATGGGAGGAGCTGGGACTGGGAGAGGCCACACCCAGAGGCCGAGTCTGGCCGAGAGCGCAGCCCGCTGGGCCTTGCCACGATGATGGGCAGCTCCCCGGGCAGGAAGGCCCAGCGGGACTGGAGCACCTTCCGTGGACACTGGCTGCCCAGACTGATTTGGAGTAGTAGCGGGGGAATTAATGTTTTTGGAAAAACACTGATTGGAGGGTGAGGGCAGACACGGAGATACAGTATTATTTCTACGGATTTGGAAGAAGTCACTGCCACTCCTGAGGACGGGTACCCGTCTTGGGATCTGTGTGTGCACGTGTTCGCTGACAGGGCAGCGGGATGATGGGCAGCCTCCTCAGAGGCCCCAGGTCTTGCCTC